ACATGGCAAAGTTGCTGTGCTGTCCACCGTAGAGATTGCAAGCAGACCGACGATTCTTTCCGAGTATGGATGAGGAAGATTCTGGGGCTTACAGTTATAGCGATGTGTAGCATCGAGGGTTTTGCATTTAAGTCGGACCTGATATTGCTTGTCATGGCCAGAGTGACGAGTTTAGGGTTTAGGGTTTCGGGTTTAGAGTGAAGCCCTACTCTTCAAGTCAGGAACGGTTAACAAAGATACAGTAAGGATGCAACCGAAGTAGTCATGCACAGTCACACCAAAGAAGCACTACTATTTGATTAAGAAGCCCAAACAATGAAAAAAAAAAAACAATCCCTTTATTACCCTTATAAGCAAAGAGTAGAACAAGCACACTCACGCGTGTGTGTGTAGGCACATGATTGTTGATTCCTTTGTGTCCTCATTTGTGCAGAAGTTACAAATGGTTTTTTCTTTGTTTGCCGCGCTTTGTTTTTTTTTTTGGTGTGTGTGTGTGTGTGTGTGTTTTCTCTTGAAAAACTGGCGAGCTGGCCTCCATTCATTCAGTCATTCCACTCTTTATTTCTTTCTTTCTTTCTTTTTTTCCGTCTTTTTGTTTTCTTTTCTTTTCTTTCTTTCTTTTTTTCTTACAGGCTTGCTTTGCGCTTCCTTATGTTGGCGCCACGTTGGCCTGTGATTTCACGCGAGGCAACAAAAGCATCATGCGAGGGTTTATTGGGCGTGGGCTTCCCCTAAACCCAATAACCCTAAACCCTAAACCTTGCCAAGGATGTCCGGCTGGAGGAGTGGAGCAGCGTTGGCGGTGTGGTGCGCGCCAAGCACGGCGATGAGCCACTTCTGTACATGCGACCAGGTGGCTTGGTCCCTGCCGGGGTTTCGTGTTTAGGGTCTTAGGGTATAGGGTTTTAGGGTTTAGGGTTTAGGGTTCAGGGTTTAGGGTTTAGGGTTTAGGGTTTAGGGCACACACACACACACACAGAGACACACACAGAGAGACACACAGAGACACACACACACACACACACACAGACACAGAGAGACACCCACAGACACACACACACACACACACACAGACACACAGAGACACACACACACACACACACACAGACACACACAGACACACACAGACACACACAGACACACGCAGACACACGCAGAGAGACAGACACACACAGACAGACACACACAGACAGACACACACAGACAGACACACACACGCAGACAGACACACACGCAGACAGACACACACAGACAGACACACACACAGACACACACACAGACAGACACACACAGACACACACACACACACACACACAAACACACACAGACAGACAGACACACACACACACACCACAGAAAAAAAAAAACAAAAACGCACACACACACACACACACACACACACACACACACAAACACGCAAACACAGACAGACACACACACACACACACAGACAGACACACACACAGACAGACACACACACACACACACACAGAGAGAGACAGGTTTGAGGAACCCTTTTCAGGGACCTTAGGGGTTCTTTAGCGGTGTTACTTAGGAATATAGGGACTATTAAGGGTACATGTCGGGGTTGTAACCCTAAACCCTAAAACCTAAGGGAAATCAGATTTAGGGTCCCTTCCAGTGGTCCCTCCCTATACCCCTTAACGATGTTTCGGGCCTGGGTGCCCAAACCCTAAGTCCCAACGCCTTCTGACCCTAAACCCTAAACCCTAAACCCTAAACTTCAAACCCTAAACCCTAAACCCTAAACCCTAAACCCTAAACCCTAAACCCTAAACCCTAAACCCTAAACCCTAAACCCTAAACCCTAAACCCTAAACCCTAAACCCTAAACCCTGACCCTAAACCCTAAACCCCGCAGAACTAGGCATGGAAGCGAGCTTCGAGGAGGCGGGAAGCTCACAGGGTTTGAAAGGGGGGTTGGGGTTTAGGGTTTAAAGGTTTAGGGTTTAGGGTTTAGGGTTTAGGGTTTAGGGTTTAGGGTTCAGGGTTCAGGGTTCAGGGTTTTTAGTTTTTGGTTTTGAGGGCGGAGGGTTTTAGGGGGCTTTTGAGGGCTCTAGGGTTTCAACGATGTCCGAAGTAACACATTTGTTGGAGGCTTGGCTGATCTTTCATGTCTTCTTTCCCATTTCGTCATTCCAGTAGCTCTTCCTTACTCCAAACCCTAAACCCTAAGCACAAAAAAACCCTAAACCCTAAACCCTAAACCCTCTAGAAAAAACCAGGTATGGAGCTGGTTAGGGGAGCCGGAGTGGCAAGAGGCAGACATGGTGGCGGGCTGCACTCCCGTCTGGGCATGCGTAGCCCTCTTCCAGCAGTCTCCCTTGCCCTTCATCGTGCGGCAACTCGGATGCCCAGAAGAAGGTTTAGGGTTTAGGGTTTAGGGTTTAGGGTTTAGGGTTCAGGGTTCAGGGTTTAGGGTTTCGGGCCTAAGCAAGGACAATGCCTGGGAATATCCTGTGTAGATCCCCTTATCCACGCTATAAAGCCAAACGAGACCCAGGGCACCCTCTTACTCACCCTCAACCCTATAAACCCTATAAACCCCATAAACCGTAAGCCCTATACCCTACTCTCTAAACCCTACACAACCTGTAAACTCTTATAAACCCCATAAACCCTATAAACCCTAAAAACCCGGTGAGGGTTAAAGCCTAAACCCTATAACCCTATAACCCTAAACCCTATAAACCCTGAAGCCTATAAACCCTATAAACCCTATAAATCCTATAAACCCTATAAACCCTATAAACCGTAACCCTATAACCCTAAACCCTATAAGCCCTAAAGCCTATAAATCCTGAACCCCGAGCCCTAAGCTGCGCAACCTAGGCAGAACATGGCCCTCTTGAACTTCTTTGCAGACTGGGAGGTATTGGACGTATACTGGTCCTTTCTCCACCGACTCCTTGCGGCTCTCTTCGTAAGCTTTTAGGGTTGTTTGGGGTTGTCTAGGGTTTTTGTGGGGGTTGTTTGTTGTCTGGGGTTCTCTTTTAACGGTTTTTTCGGGTTTTTAGGTTTTAACTGCTTTGGGCACGGGGTTCAGGGTTTAGAGGGTTTAGGACCCTGAAGCCCTGGTCCTGCAAGACCAAAGGCCTTACACCTTTCTCCGCAGGTGCGACCCTAAACCCTAAACCCTAAACCCTAAACCCTAAACCCTAAACCCTAAACCCTAAACCCTAAACCCTAAACCCTAAACCCTAAACCCTAAACCCTAAACCCTAAACCCTAAACCCTAAACCCTAAACCCTAAACCGAAACCCTCAACACTGCCCCGAAAATACTAAGCCCTAACAGGGTGGCAACCAAACAAGCTGCAAGCCAAGAGCAAAACCAACAAAATCCAACCACCCTGAAGGCAACAAAAGGGAGCCGAATCCCTAAATCCGTATCCTTAAACCCCAAACCCCCAAACCCCCAAACCCCCAAACCCCCAAACCCGAAACCCTAAACCCTAAACCCTAAACCGTGAAGGATTCTTGACATCCACGAGGGTCACGGTCGCATGGAAGCATCGACTCGGCGCGGAGCAGGTCTTCGAGCAGCTTGTCAAGGAAGCAGCAGGGTTTAGGGCTTAGGGCTTAGGGCTTAGGGCTTAGGGCTTAGGGCTTAGGGCTTAGGGCTTAGGGCTTAGGGTTTAGGGTTTAGGGTTTAGGGTTTAGGGTTTAGGGCTTAGGGCTTAGGGCTTAGTGTTTAGGGTTTAGGGTTTAGAGTTTAGGGTTTGGAGATTGCAGCCCTGGCACAAAAGGGCCCTGAAGAATCAGGCGAGGCCATCTGCAAGTATGCTGCAAGATGCTCTTTAGGATCTGTTCTTGGGATGTTCCCCCCTTACACTAGCACATAAGGTACCTTGAGTTTAGGGTTTCAGGTTTTAGGGTTTAGGGTCTGTTCTTGGGATGTCCTCCCCCTTATACTGGTAAGGTTATAGGGGGGTTGCCTGTTAAGGTTTAGGGTTTGTCGGGTTTATAGGTTGGGATGTTCCCTTGGGGCCACATTCCAAATGTGTTGCTCTTGCTTGGTTTAAAGGCTGGGTATTAGGAATACATGTCAAAGGGCTTCAGGGGCTAACCTAGCTAAATTCCAGTGCCATGATAAAGAGTAGGATTAACAAACATTTAGTTTACTGCTAAATAATTATCCCCAAGCCCCGAAAGGTAAACCCAACACCCCAGTTCGTGAGACCTTAAACCCCAAACTCCCAGCCCTAAACCCCAAGCCTTTAATCCCTACACCCCAAAGCCTAAACCCTACCCTGGCCCTAAACCGCGAACCCTACCCTGGCCCCAAACCCCACACCCTAAGCCCTACCCTGGCCCTAAACCCCAAACCCTAAACCCTCCCAAACCCCCAAAACCCCGAGTTTCTCCGACAGCAACCCCAAGGCAGACGGGGGCGCGCCCGGCATATGTGACTCACTTGGCATCAACTCGGCAACATGTTCATCTTTTGGGCTTTAGGCTGTTTAGGGTTGGGGGTTGGTTTAGGGTGTAGGGTTTAGGGTTTAGGGTTTAGGGTTTAGGGTTTAGGGTTTAGGGTTTAGGGTTTAGGGTTTATAGGGTTTAAGGCAGGCAGTGACGAGGAGACCTGCAAAAGGGTTTAAGGTGTCAAAACAAGACACCGCATGGTGTTTTTCGTTTCTAAGCAATTTTATGGTAGCTTGAATTCAAACTTATTCGGTAGACTTTGGCAAACAAAGAAAGCGTAGTACTTCTACGGCTGCCAACATGTGTGCTTTTTGCCTTATCTCTTGTAGCTCAAGCTGTCCGACACTGGGTCTGTCACTCTAGCTTAATTTTGGTGTATGGTTCCGGCCTGCACTATGCAGCCCCTTCACACAGCCATTGGCGAGAGAGGTGCCCTTAATCAGCTTGCACACAGAGGGCTTCAAGTACCAGCCGATAAAGCCGGATGTGCTTGTGCACAGATGCAGCCACCGTGGCTTCGTGCACCTCTTGGGCTACTTAGACGAACTGGTGGCGATGTCAGGTCATGACGTGAGCATCGTCATCCTCCGTGACTTGCAGAAGCTGCAGAAGAAGTTCCTGACGTGGCGTGAGTTCACAGAGTATCACGCGATGGTGCTGTTCCCGCATGTGCCAAACACCATTAGCTTCGCTGACGCTTACGCCATGCACATCCCCATTTTTCTTCCCGCCGAGCCAGAGGCATGGACGTGGGCGTGGTCGCAGTCTGACCCCTATGCCGGCCCAGGGTTTCCCTTGAAGCAGCAGAGCTCACCATGGAATTTCGCTGCTAAGGCCCCTGATTGGTACAAGAAAGCAGGCGGGGATAGCAGACATCCCAATCCTGCCTTCACGCACCTGGAAGTCAAGTTCCAAATGACGGACCTGCTTGACCATGCGTATTGGTACCAGTACACTGAGTACTACCTCCTGCCACACACACGCACTTTCAGGGGCATCGCAGATCTGCTGGTGCAGCTGCGGGGCTACACCATCGAAGATGCCCTGGAGGACAGCCGACGAATCGCTTTGGAGCAGGCAAAGCGGGAGGCGTACGTCATCTCATGGATGTCGGTCGTCATGGCACAAGCGATAACTTCCAGCTGATAGACATGAGAAAAACACCTGTCGGTCACTTGCGGAGTTTGTCGTGCATTGTGTTGTGAAACATATGTATACACATATATATATATATATATATCTGTGTGTGTGCATAGGTACATGTACACACACACACACTCACGCACGCCCGCACGCGCGCGCGCGCGCGCGCGCGCACGCGCGCACGCACGCACGCACGGACGCACGGACGCAAGCACAACGCGCGCACGCACCCGCGCACGCACACCCGCGCAACCGCGCACCGCCACCCCCGCACCGCGCACCCACGCACCCGCACACCCGCGCACCCCCACACACACACACCACACACACACACACACACACACACACACACACACACACACACACACACACACACACAGACACACACACACACACACACACACACACACACACACACACACACACACACACACACACACACACACACACACACACACACACACACACACACACACACACACACACGCACACGCACGCACGCACGCACACGCACACACGCACGCACGCAACGCACAACGCACGCACGCACGCAACGCACGCAACGCACGCCGCACGCACGCACGCACCGCACGCAACGCACGCAACGCACGCAAACGCACGCAACGCACGCAACACGCAACGCACGCAACGCGCACGCAAACGCACGCAACGCACGCAAACGCACGCAACGCACGCAACGCACGCAACGCACGCAACGCACGCAACGCACGCAACGCACGCAACGCACGCACAACGCAACGCACGCAACGCACGCACGCAACGCACGCAACGCACGCAACGCACGCAACGCACGCAACGCACGCAACGCACGCAACGCACGCAACGCACGCAACGCACGCAACGCACGCAACGCACGCAACGCACGCAACGCACGCAACGCACGCAACGCACGCAACGCACGCAACGCACGCAACGCACGCAACGCACGCACGCACGCACGCACGCACACCACACACACACGCACACAGATATATATATATATATATATATATATATATATATATGAGTGTTTCGGCGTGCACTACTTGTTCACAAGTGCGTGGAAGCAAGCGGAAGAGTAGTGTAGACAAGGAGGGTGTAGATCATGGGGGGGGGGGGGTGACCATATATTTTTTAGTTATTTATTATTTATTTATTTATTCATATATTTGGTTGTTTTTTGATATGTTTATTCATTCATTTCATTTGATACTTGTGTTTTTCTTTGTGCGTGTGCTCAATATGTATACATATGTATACTAAATAGCCTTGCACCCCAACCCTACAGCTTAAGACTTCGTTCACCATAGGCGGGCTGCCACTGCGCTCATAGGTGTGGCCCTGAGAGCTGGGGACTTCTTCCTGAGCCCCCAAGGGTTTAGGGTTTAGGCTTTAGGGTTTAGGGTGTAGGTTTAGGGCTTAGGGCTTAGGGCTTGGGGGTTTAGGGTTTAAGGTTGAGGTTCTGGAAGTAAGAGCTGAGAGCTTAAGGAAGTTCCTTAGGGCTCCGCAGCTATGCGCAGGCGCCATAAATACTTAGTAGTACACTTGGTGTATAAGAGAAGTATAAGGGGGTCTAGAGTGGCCAGATCGACATCCCATGCCAGAGCCTAGGCCTAAACCCGAAGGTTCTGAAAGTTGCTTGTCCCGAAACCTATTCCCTTAACCCGAAACAACGCTGCAGGGCCCTTTCTGGGTAAACCGTTGCAAGTTGCTCAAGTTCTCAGCTTCTCAGAACGTTCGGGCTGGGTGGGCTTTTTCTCCAGAGCACCTGCTTGCGCCTGAGCTCTTTTTGGGGAGAAGATGATCGAGTACGAGGAGATGAAGCCGGACTCAGCGAAGTGGGGGGCAACACTCTTCAGGGAGCTCAAAGCGGTCCCAACTCCCCAGACATTGGAGGGCGCCATCTCGCCTCTGCGAGCTCTAACCCTCCCAGGGGGCACCCTCGCGCTCGACAACCTGCGCTGGGACTAGGGGAGCTTCGAACTGCACGTGGGAATCTTTGAGGAAGTGCTCCACAATGGGCTCCTGGAAGATCTGGAGCTTCCAGGCTATGACCGCGAGCACGCCAAGGTTCGCCGCGCCTTCACGTGAGAGGAGCCTCCGATCTACAAGCTCTGCAGCAAGCAGATGTTTTCAGATGAACGGCGGCTCCAGGACGGAGGTGTCTCCCCCGGTGTCAAAGCCTCGCTCCGGGTCTACAAGCTGCTGACCGCTGCATTGCTGAGCCTGCCGGCACGCTTTCGCGAGGAAGCCAAAGTCTTCCGTGGGGGTGCGGTGGGTCTACCCCGCACCTGGGGACCACCTGCCACAAGAGCACTTTAATGAAGCCTGGAAAGAAGCTGATTTGGTTCGAGCCCAAGAGCTCCTCCCGAAACTTTGAGGTGATGCACCAGGGCCACTTCTGTGGACTCGACGGTCCCCGGGCCGCATTCGCTGTGCACTCTCCCCTCCCGGGCTTCCGCATCGATCGCTTCTCTGCCTATGGGACTGGGGAGGAAGAGGTGCTCTTTCCCCCACTGACTGTGCTCGAGGTTGTTGACAGCCAGAAGTGGAATCAAGAGAAGAAGCAGGGTTTTCCGGACGACGTGGTGCTGAAGCAGGTGGAATCGAAGATCCTCAACCTGGAGCTCTTCCCAGGTTTCGCTCAGGTCGCAGCTCCGGTGGCCGCCACCACTGCGATGAGTAGCGTGGTGCCGGCAGCTGCAGAACCCACGCAGAATGGACCCAGTCCCGCACACGCCCAATTAGCAAGAGCTTGGCGGCAGACCGGCAGGAGACGATTGTTCAGCCGCTCCACGTCCGGGCCAGTGACAGATGTAGCGACTCCGCAAAGCGCTTCGTGGCGAATCATTCTCCATCGGCCTCCTTCGTGCAGCCGCTCACGGACTTCCTAAAGAAGGCCGAGCGGGATGCCCAGACTTTCCCAGTCCAAGTGGAGGTGGACCTTTCAGAGTTGGGCACCGGGCACCGGGCACTAGACGCCGCCAAAATGGCGCAGTGGATGAGTCAGTGGGAGAGGCCCTGCAATCGGCATAAAAAGACATCTTGGAGAGTCTAAGGGTAGTAACATGGTCCCTTCATATGGTCCCTTGCCTCCTTGAGAGGTTCTGCCGTCTGGGTGCTTGGGTTTAATAAGGTTTAGTTCCCCGTTTAAAGGGCCGTTTTTCAGGGACTTCGCAAGTGTCTCTCGCAAAGGGGCAACAAAAAGCATCCTAAAGCCTAAGCCCATTGTGATGAGATTCTCCCCCAGAATCTCACCCACCACCAGATTCCCGGCAGCCCTCAACCCTGAAGAAAACCCAAGCCCCTGGATCATATAAATCCCAAACCCTCCTAAACCCTAAACCCTACCCCCAAACCCAAAGCCCAAAACCGGAACCCTGAACTGGCAAAAGCCCCAAAACCCGGAACCGAAACCCTACACTTTAGGGTTTAGGGTTTAGGGTTTAGGGTTTAGGGTTTAGGGTTTAGGGTTTAGGGTTTAGGGTTTAGGGTTCCTTACGTCTCCGGGCATCCCATGCCGCAGCTGTGTAGTGATGCAGATGCCAGTACAGGCAAGGATCGAGAGGACATCTCACACGGATCTGCGCCGCAGCTTTGTGCAGTTTAGGGTTTAGGGTTTAGGGTTTAGGGTTTAGGGTTTAGGGTTTAGGGTTTAGGGTTTAGGGTTTAGGGTTTAGGGTTTAGGGTTTAGGGTTTAGGGTTTAGGGTTTAGGGTTTAGGGTTTAGGGTTTAGGGTTTAGGGTTTAGGGTTTAGGGTTTAGGGTTTAGGGTTTAGGGTTTAGGGTTTAGGGTTTAGGGTTTAGGGTTTAGGGTTGGTAAGGTTTAGGGTTCGGGGTGTAGGGCTCAGGGGACGCAACACAAAAGGGGCAAAAGACGTCCTGCGAATCGCAGCCCTGGCTCCTGGCTAGGCTGAATCCCGTCCAGTCGTGCACAGCCTCAAGCCTTAAAGCCCTGGCACAACAGCCATTCTCAGCCCGAAACCCTAAACCCTACACTCTACACCCTAAACCCTAAACCCTAAACCCAAAGCGCATGGCGGCGTTGAGCTATAGGTTGGTTTGTGGGGTTGAAGCCTTGGCGAGGGTTTTTGAGAAGCTTCCCTACGATGCCGCACCCGCAAGGGCATGGCGGACATGAGAGGCATGCGCTTGCTAGGCCTGGCCCTGGCCCTGGTCGGGGAGGCCCACCTTCGAACCGAGACGGGCGCTGGCATGATCTGGCTGGGCTCCAGGGAGAAGCCCTCTGCAAGCGTCACTTGGCAGCCCACTGCCACCCTTGTCCCTGTTTTTGGTTCAAGGTTCCCTTTGTGGAGAAACTAACCCCAAGAAAGGGTGCCCTCATTGTGGTATAACTACTTGGCTACCAAGGTCAAGCAGGTCCATGTGAACTCCAGCCTTAAAGCCTAAAGCCTAAACCCTAAACCCTAAAGCCTAAACCAAGGTCAAGCAGGTCCATGTGAACTCCAGCCTTAAACCCTAAACCCTAAACCCTGAACCCTAAACCCTGAACCCTAAACCCTAAACCCTAAACCAAGGTCAAGCAGGTCCATGTGAACTCCAGCCTTGTGCTAGATCCCACCTTCTGCTTTGAGGAGGAAGTCGGCCTGCTGGAGCTCTATGTCTCTGCAGAGACTTACTGTAACATACTCTTGGTCCGTAGGGAATGAGGGAATGAGGTAGCCCTATAGAATCCCTTAAAGGGTATAACCCTAAACCCTAAACCCTAAACCCATATATAGGGGGGATATAGGGCTACCTCATTCCCTCATTCCCTACTAGCCAACAGTAAGGAGAGGCCTGGCCCCTGCTTCTATCTGACGGAGGTCCGGAAGCTTGCAAATGGCAGCATGGACCTGAAGGTCCACAGGGTTTAGGGTTTAGGGTTTAGGGTTTAGGGTTTAGGGTTTAGGGTTTAGGGTTTAGGGTTTAGGGTTTAGGGTTAGGATCTGAAGGTCCACCAGCTGGTTGAGGCCGCCCGGCCTGGGTACCAGCCAAGCAACTAGGCACTTTTTTGGGGCATCTTTGTTATTTTTCCTTCTTGGGTTTAAGAGGATGATAATTTATATTTTCCTTTGTTAGGTTTAAGAGGATCATATGTACAGGGATATTCTTTTCACGGGTTCGAAGGGTCATCCTAGGCAATCTCAGGGGGCTGGAGGTGGCACCCGCCTCTTGCTTGGGCTTTGTCTTCGTGCCTTGGGAGAGGCAGGGTTGCGGCATCGCATACAGCGACAGCGACGTCCCTGGCACGCCTGAGACTACAGAGTATTTCTGGCACCGTGGTTTCGGAACAAGACTCCAGGTGCGCCCGCAAGTTCGTATACCTTCGGATTGGCCGGCAGTCCGCCGATTGCGACTTTATAACCTGGCGGTGAAGGTTTGGCCCCGCCCTGCTGAGTCTGCGGCACAGCACGCGAAGTTCATGAAGCATCCTGCCTGGGAGAACCTGCGACAGGCACTGGAGCCCAACGAGAACCTAGGACGTCCAGTGGTAGACGTAGTCCACCCTGGTTTCCTTTTGAGTTAACCTGAACATTCCTCCTAAACCCTTCAGACCCAAACAAAGGCACGCTTATGTCCTGAGCTACTGAGCAACCGAGGAACTGGCTTGGCGCAGAGGTGAGCGAAAGGCTGGGGGATCTTCAGGAAGTGGTGAAGGACAACCGAAACGCTTTTGGGCGAGTGGTTCAGTACAAGAATGCACAGCGTCGTTCTACTCTATTCCTCTCCATGCGTCTTCAGCATTTGCATTTTTCTAGTACCCTAAACCCTAAACCCCAAACCCTAAACCCTAAACTCTAAACCCTAAACCCTATGATTGTGGTTTTTTCCCGCTGAGGCCTTGACGATCGTGGCGGAGCTGGGGATGGCAAAGGCTTTCAAGGCGTTTGCGGTCCCCGGCGACCCGGAGAACGACTTCTGGATGCTCCAGTTCTTTGCCGTCACCACGTTCTGGTTTGTTGAAACTCAGCAGCTGAGTGAGTACACTTTACACCTTTTTGGGATACCAGAATCCCCCCATAAAACTGAAAGTGTACACTTTTTTGGGGGGCTTATGAACTCAGCAACCAAGGAAATGATGCACCTGTGGGACAACCTGCAGGAGCACACAAGATACGTTTACGTGGCAGCACAGTAGGTGGACTAGACTGTTTGTTTTTTTAATGTAGGCTGGGTCGTGCTACCGAAATCTGAACATAACTTGCAAACCAAAAAATCTCAAGCGTAGCAGGTTAGTTTTGTTGCAGCTGTTCTTAGTAGTCTTTGCACTCGGTTTGGAATTCTACACCCTGAAGCAGAACCTTCTTCTGCCCTTTGAGCCCAAGACATTCTCAGAACCCCCCCACCCTCAATGACACCCGTAAGTCCTCACAATCCCTAAACCCTAAACCCTAAATGCTCGGCCAGCTATGCGGGAGCGAAAAAAAACCCTACACCCTAAACCCCAAACCCCAAACCCCAAACCCGAAACCCTAAACCCTAAACCCTAAACCCTAAACCCTAAACCCTAAACCCTAAACCCTAAACCCTAAACCCTAAACCAAACCGAGGCTCAACTCCTCTACGGCATGTACTCCACAAGCTGGGGCTCCGAGTTTGCTCTGCCTGAGCACCGGGGCTGGGTGTCCGGCCTTGGATTCTGGGACGTCGCGGCCGTGCTGCGTCTTGGCACGGTTTAGGGTTTAGGGTTTAGGGTTTAGGGTTTAGGGTTTAGGGTCTAGGGTTTAGGGTTTAGGGATTCAGAGTTTAGGGCGGTGCAAATGTCTTAGGCTGAGACTGCATGTCGTGGAGGAGGGTGAGGGGGAGGTTAGGGTTCATCGAAATTGCATTGGAGTTCGTGCCCGGAGTTTTGGGCAAACGTTTGGGCCCCTTTCAGATACCTGCTGTTACCAGGCTCCCTTGAACCGAACAAGTTCCCACCTGCATGTCTTTCCAGGGCCGTGCATTTCTCAGGGCTTCAACTTGGAAGCGCACAAGTGGGCGTGTCACCAGGTCTGACGCCCTAAACCCTGAACCCTAAACCACTGAAGAATCCTGGGTCCTTAAAGTAAATAGGGGTCCTGGGCAGAGAGCCAGCCGCTGTGGGGGTTGCACAACTGCGGCCACTCTCGATGATGTGGCGACATGTATGCAATGACTACAAGGAGACCTGCGCATGGACCCCTAAACCCTAAACCCTGAACTCTAAACCCTAAACCCTAAACCCTAACCCTAAACCCTAAACCCTAAACCCTAAATACCCTAAACCCAGCAAGGCTTCGCGACGCCTGGCCTGAAGGCACTCGGCCCCATACTCGGGCTGCTGCCACTGAGCTCATAGACTTGCTTCGTGCAGGCTCCCGAGGGTTTTGGGGTTTTGGGTTTAGGGGTTAGGGAGGCAGCGGTCCTGGGTCAAAAAAGGGTTTAGGGTTCAGGGTTTGGGGTTTGGGTCTTGGATGTTGGGTTTTGGGTTTGGGGCCTTTAGGTTTTGGGGGTCTAGGTTTCAGCAACGCGTTCCTGCCCCGGCTTGTCGTGAACCTTTGGGGGAAGCTTCAGCCTGAGGGAGCAGCGGGGAGTATTAGGGAACCTTTGGCTACGTGTTACATATTCCCCTTGAACCTCCCTAAACCTTAAAACCCTAAACCCCAAATCCCAAACCCTAAACCCCAAGCCCTAAACCCTAAAACCCCAAATCCCAAACCCTAAGCCCCAAACCCTAAACCGTAAGCCTTGAGCCCGCCCAGGAGGACCCTGCAACACCTTGTATGCTGGATGCAAAGAGGGTGTAGCCTTGGGGACCAAACAAACCCTAGGGTTTAGGGTTTAGGGCTTAGGGGCTTATATGGGCTTATATGGGCTAAGCCCGGCTTTTAGGTGTCAAAGGCTGCAACCCTAAACCCTAAACCCTAAAC